TGTATGTGGTGCTGAGGATCGAACCTGGGCTGCACGCATGCCAGGCAAGCGCGATACCGCTTAAGCCACATCCCCAGCCCAATGTGTTTTGTGATCTTTAAAAACCTCATGGCTACTGTGCATGGTGGTGCACAACTATAATCTCAACTTGGAAGGCTGAGGCAGAAGGATCACAAGTTTGAGGCCAGTCTCAGCAACTTAGTGAGACCCTGTTTCAAAATAAAAAGGGCTAGGCATGTAGCTCAGTGGTTGTACCACTGGCTTCAATCCCCAGCACCAAAAAAGAAAAAAGCTCACTCATGGCCTTTTAGAAAACATGAAAATCTCATACCTCATTTTCATTCTGATAAGTACTTCCCTCTTATCCTCATCAATGAAAAATATTTTAAATTTCTTTTTCTTAAGTTTGTATTATAAAAACAATCTTCTTTTCTCAATAGCTATGTTATTATTTTGAGTATGACTTTCAAACAATATGTGGAGTATAGAATTCTTTTCTTGAAATTGGTCAAGAGTTTAGGTAGATGTGTTGGCATTTTGGTTTATCAAACAACTTAAGATGCAATAGGCATGCTGCCAGAGCTAGGCCCTATTGTGTGAGCACTGTGGTCTTTGCTGCTAGCAAGCGAACATTTCCCTCTGTCATGGGCTTCAGATTTAAAGCAGGTTTTGCTTTCCTAGGATCCAGCTAATAATATTGAGTACTTAGAATGTGCCAGATGCTCTGCTAAGTGCTTTATAATTTACAACAAATATTTACTTTCTCTCATTTTATAAATCTCAAAATAACCTCCATCCTACAAAGTAGAGAAGTCAGGAGARGTTCAGGGATTTGACCAGGATCTTCTAATGCATGTATGGCAGAATCAGACTTGAGGTGTGTTACTTTTACCACATCACCATGCTGGAGGTCTTAATCCGGTTATTTTACCCTGTAAAGTCAAATGGGAATTTTTGATTTGCCGCAGGTTTTTCCTCCTCAGATTTGCTCAGATTATTAATACTGAGATTCTCCACCAGATTTCCAAGCCTTTTTAACCCTCTTTGGAGTTGAACGCATATTTACTTCAATTATGGAAATGTCTCCTTAAATACATGAATATTACATGCAAGTAATTATGAATTATTAATGTTGCCTGGGGCTTCTTGCTTTCTTAGGTTTTCATGGTGTCCCTGAGCACTTGAGCCATTTAGCTGAACAGTAGCTTCTTTTTTTTTTTAAAGAGAGAGTGAGAGAGGAGAGAGAGAGAGAGAGAGAATTTTTTTTTAATATTTATTATTTAGTTCTCGGCGGACACAACATCTTTGTTGGTATGTGGTGCTGAGGATCGAACCCGGGCCGCACGCATGCCAGGCGAGCGCATTACCGCTTGAGCCACATCCCCAGCCCTGAACAGTAGCTTCTTAACCACTGTTGAAGTGTTCATCCTTTTTCATTAGATGTAGATCTTTCCTTCCTTCCYGAGTTCTTGTTTTTTGTTGTTGTTTTGGTTTTGATTTTGGTTTGTTTGTTTGTTTAGTACTACGGATTGAACCCAGGTGCACTTAAGAATTGAGCTACATCCCCAACCCTTTTTGACAGGATCTAAGTTGCCAAGACTGTCCTTAAATTTGCAATCCTCCTGCCTCAGTCTCCCGGGGAGCTGGATTACAGGCATTTGGCCATCTGTGGATTTCTTCTTAATAGTACTTCTTAATGGTTACTGTTCTGATCTTACAGAACAGCTAAAACCCCTATGTATTCCCCCTGACTTCAGGAAATTCTTTCACAAATCCCTGACTCTCCCTTCCTTTCTCCTTTCTTGAAGATTCTATTCTTTTCCTGATTTTATAAACTCCTTTTGATTGTAAAACTAAAGAGCAGGACCTGAGCATTCCCAAGATGTTCTCTTCATTTCTGCAGGCCACACAGATGGAGAACTGTGTGTAGAGGTCTACCAGGACAGACTTCACACTGTCCTGCTCTACACAGCTCTAGTTTCTGAGACTTCACCTAGACTAATTTATGTCTAATTTAAATTTCTGCTTTCCCCTTTCTCTGTCATCCTCTGTACTTGTGTTACAAGTCTAGTCTGGTTTTCTTCATTTGTTTCCTCTCTCTTACTAACTTGCTTTCTATGTGAGTTAACTCATTTATAAAATGGGCATGGTACTAGTCTTTTCTACTTCAAATCCACGCTGAGAATCAAGGGAACATACATGAAAGTGTTTTTAGAAAACAGGCAAAAAAGACAGAGTTATGAAAAGGTTTTACTTGTAATTGATTTCAATTTAATGAAGACATGCAAAAACATTAATATTTATGTCCTTTATTTCAAACTGTTTTGGATTTTAAAACTTGGTGCAGTTTAAAGGTTTGGTTTTTGTTTTTTGGTGCTAGGGATTGAACTCAGGTGCACTCAATCACTGAGCCACATCACCAGCCCTATTTTGTATTTTATTTAAAGATAGAGTCTCACATTTGCTGAGGTTGGCTTTGAATGTATCGGGTCTTCCAGGCCACTGCACCTGGCTACTTTAAATGTTTTGTTGGTGCTAGTTATAATGGGATTTGCCATATAGCTTTCATCCCTTTGGTGATCCTTTGATCATCCTATGAATCTTCTCCCCATTTTCCACGGATGTTCTTGAATGTTGTAGAATTCTGGAAGGGTCATGAGTAAACCCTGAAGATATGATGAACCCCATATACTTTTGAGATGAAAACACTGAGTCTCTCCCCGTGGATTGAACCCAGGTGCACTTAAGCATTGAGCTACACCCCCAACCCTATATACATGTCATCAGCATGTATATAGGGAATATATGCGATGAGCAGTTGAAGTCCTCATGCTAAACCCAAAGCCTAGCACTGCCTTGGACTAGCCATCCTTTCTGCTGTAGCTCCTTCCACTCCCCCAGGGAAGCCCAGTCTCCTGGACAGTGTTATATAGCTGGCTTTGGAGCTGCTGCTTTTTCTGGATCCTTAGGGACCCTTTTTTCCTGTGCTGAGCTGACATTTCAAATAGTCCTGAGGGCTTCTGGAGCCAGTCTCAGAGCCGTGAACCTGAGCTTGTGTTAGAGGAAGCTTAGCTTAATATAAATAAATCTGTAAGAAAAGGTCACAGGGTCACTGTCAGGAAAGAAGTAAAAAATACAGTGTTCACTCCCTCTCCTCCCTGAGAAATTGAAGCCCAACTTGGTGTTGAAATGGGATGGTAAAACAGGAGTGGGTCTGAGAATTTGGGGAGATCTGTATCTGCCCTCACAGCTTTGGGGACCTGATACAGTGATCCCAACAGACCTGAAGCCAGACTCCAGTGAGATATCTAAGCAAGTGACTCTTTCATCCTGTTTCCACCAGTTAAGGGAGAGAAACATAAAATAATTTCGTTCAAGCATTTAAGCAAGGAAGAATCACTAATATGAGCTTCCACTAATTTTTACATCCATGGACCAGAGAAGGTAGGATGGGAGTGTAATGGATGCAAAGGGAATGATTATTATAGGAAGGTGATAAGAGCTATATCTGCACACCATGGGAATCTGTGACAAGAAAGCAGAGAGGTGTAAATGCCAGGGCAAGAGTAATAATAGCAGGTGTCATTATTAAGTCAGAAAAAATAATTCTTAAAGATAATTGTAGTAAGCTCTGTCACACTCATACTGTCCAATGTCCAGCAAGGAGCCCAGGGCTTGGCCCACACCCCACTCTTCCATCAGTCTCTCCTTGTACTGTTTCTAGTGAGAGGGATAGCTCTCTTGGGAGTAGGGAATTTGACTCCCCTCCTGCTGTGGCATTCATGGGGCTCTGATTATTGGTGTTCAGTAAATGTTTAAGAAAAAATAAATGGAGGCTGGGGTTGTGGCTCAGCAGTAAAGCCCTCGCCTAGCACGTGTGAGGTGCTGGGTTCAATCCTCAGCACCACATAAAAATAAATAAAAGTATTGTGTCCAACTATAAAAACTAAAAAATATTTTWAAAAAAKAAAAAATAAATGGATTATTCTGGAGCATAGTGTCTTCCCCTTCTCCTTAAGTGATACCACTAATCCAAAAGTTATTTTCAAGTAGGAGGACGGTAGTGTTGGGTGTGAAAGGGCAGGTCCTATAAAACTGCTGCTTGCTGCCACAAAATAATTGTGTTTATGTAAAACTATAAAAAATAAGGCGAGGGCTGGGGTTGTGGCTCAGTGGTAGAGTGCTTGCCTAGCACATGTCGGCACTGGGTTCAATCCTCGGCACAACATAAAAAATAAATACATAAATATATTGTGTCCATCTACAAGTAAAAAATAATAATTTTTTAAAAAAGATGATTTAGGGCTGGGGTAATGGCTCAGTGGTAGAGCGCTTGCCTAGCATGTGTGAAGCACTGGGTTAGATTCTCAGCAYGACATACAAATAAATGAATAAAATTAAGGTCCATCAACATCTAAAAAAAAATTTAAAAATAAGGCGATGTGGTTATTTCCATTTTATACTTGAAAGTGAAGTAGAGTTGGTCCAATGCTCTTTCCTCTCCCCGGACCCACAGAGGTCTGCCTCCTGCCTACGGTTAAGGCGGGCCCTCCAGCTGGTGCCTTCTCCCGGGAGTGGTACGAGCCAGATGCTCCAAGAATGAGGGGTGTCGAGAATTAATTATGGAGCTCCTGTGGTGCCTGGCACTTGCCTGAGTGGCATAAAAATGCCCGTGCTGTGCAGGAGGAGGACTTCTTTGCCCCACTTTTAGTCTCCTAGAGAAGCTCAGGGTTTGAAGTTATTACTTGGTGGCCAAAAGCCAGCGGCCGTGGCGAGCGAGGTCCCGGAACTGTCTTGCTGCGGGGGCGGCGGGAGGGTGGGCTGCTCAATCCAGGACCCATGGAGGAGGCAGCGCCCACCCCGCCAGGAGCAGGTGCGGGGCGGGGCCGCTACGGGCGGCTGGGCGGGGCTCCTGCCGCAGCTCCGCCCCAGGCGCAGGTTTAAAAGCAGCGAAGGCGGGCCCCTGGAGCCAGCTGCGGGCGCGGGCTGGCAGACGGAGCTGTGGGCACGGCCATGGCCTGGCACGCGGGGGGCGCTTGGTGGCTTAGTGGCCTCCTGCTCTTCGCGCTGCTGGCAGCAGGTGTCTCCCCGCTCAACTGGGATCTTCCGGAATCCCGGGGCCGAACAAGCAAGATCCGAGTGCACCCGCGGGGCAACCTCTGGGCCACCGGTAAGTCTCAGGGGACCCCAGCAAGCGTCCCTCACCCCGCTTTGGCCCCGTTTCTTTCTCAACACTGTGGCCCCTCCTAGTGTCCGAGCACTAGGGGATCATCTAATTTCGTAGATAGAGAAGTTGAGTAATTTGGCTAAGATAGTAACTTGGCTAAGATCTCTTAGCAAGTTTAAGGCAGAGCTGGGTTTGAATCCTACCTAGGTCGACTGCCAACCGGTGTCCTTCCCTTAAGCAAGACTGCTGAATCTTATAACCTCTGGTGTGTCTTTCTGCACATTCATCTTCCAGGCACCTCTTCATTCCCTACTTCTTTCCTTGCCCTTTTCTGACCCTCCTCCAAGCAGGCAGTACAACTGGCAGTTTCCCCCTGGTCCTAGTTTGTCCCACCTTCCTTCCAGCTGTGCTGTCCCTACACCTGTTCAGGAAAAGCTGAGGTAGCAGTCTTTGTCACCACTCCAATGTCTTTGTGGCTCCTTGGTGAAGAGAATGAAGGTTTCCTGTCTTCCTTCCAAGAGAAGTGAAAAGTGGGAAAGATGGGGAACTTTCCCACTGGGGCAGGATCCTCACTCCCTGACTTCCATGTACCTGGGCACCTCCTTTCTAGGTCACTTCATGGGGAAGAAGAGTCTGGAGTCCCCCAGAGCATTCCCGTTGGGGACAACTCCCCATACCTCCCTGAGGGACCAGAGACTGCAGCTGAGTCATGATCTGCTCAGGATCCTACGGATAAAGAAAGCTCTGAGCATGAGCTTCAGCAGCCCAGCACCCCAAACCCAGGTGAGCCAGGCCTCCACCCCAATACCAGAATGGTTTAGCCAAGGCCACCTACGATCCAGCATGGAGGAATTACCACCCAGGATTGGGTGATTACGCAGCCAGGGCATAATGGGTATAAACTCCAGAAAGCCAGGATTCTGGGCCCTCCCTGTGTCCCAAGTCTTAAAGGAGACACTCTCCAAAGAAAGGAAGCTGACCTTCCCACCAGACTCCATGGAGCAAGAAGTAGGGAAAGAAGTTCCCCATCACTCAGTCTAAAGTCACAGGCTGGCCTCTTGGCAGCAGAATCTTCTCCCCTAACTACACAGCTTTGTTCCACTCCAGATGTCCCCTACTRTATAAACCAAGTGTATATTTGCTGTGCCTTACATATAGTTATGACCAGAGCTAGGACCCTGAGAACCAGAGAGGGCAAGAGAAGTCAGCAACCAAGACAGAATTAAAACCTTGTTCACGTTCACCAGTGCTCTTGACATTCTAGGCTGGATAATTCTTTGCTGTGGGCATCCCTGCACATTGTCAGATGTTTAGCCATGTCTGTGGTTTCTACCCACTAGATGTCAGTAGCACCTTGCCTCTCCTAAGTTGTGACAAACAAAATTATTTCTGAGCCAGGTGTGGTGTATACACCTGTAATCCTGGCAACTTGGTAAATTGAGGCAGGAGGATCCCTGAGCCCAGGAGTTTGAGGTCAGCCTGGGCAACATAGCAAGACCCTGTCTTTAAAAACAAACAAACAAAAAATACTTCCAGACATTGCCAGGTGTCTCCCAGGGTGGGGCAAATCACTCTTGGTGGTAAACCAACAATCTATGGGGTTCAAGGTCCTAAAGCTGGAAGTAAGCCACCCTTCCTGGCTAGCATGGGTGGGTGGCTGCTCCTCCATTTGCTGCTCCCAGTGCTATCCCTACTACACACACCCTCCTTGGTATTGTTATCATGTGCAGAAAGCAGTGTGATGTGGCAGAATGTGGGCTCTGGCCACTGTGCCAGGCTCAAAACCTAGCTACTCAATAGCTATATAACCTTAGAATGTCACTTACCTACTCAAAGGCTCATCTTCCTCATCCATAAAGTGGAAATACAGGCCCTTCTCCCATTATGTTATTTGTGCAGCATGGTGCTGGCACATAGAAAGCCCTCAGTAAACAGGAGCACTTACCAATCTGTGAGCTTTCTGGCAGTACCTGTTGGTGCCTTATTTTTGTATCTGCCACTGTGTCTACCATAAAGTATGCATATGTTGAGAGAAGAGAGGGACATTCCCTAGAAAAGGTCTAGCCCCAGCCCACATCCCTGACTTTCAGATGCATAACTCCTGGGAACCTCACATAATAAGGGCTAGGAGGTTGGGCTGGCTATCTGAAGGAAGACTATTATCACCTCTAGGGCCATGGAATTTGAAGGCCTAAAATGTACAGATTAACTAGAGAATCCCTAGCTATGGGACTGGGGGAACTTGAGGGAGGTCTGGGCAGAGCTTGGGGTAGGGAGAATGACACTGACAATGGCCCAGTGCCAGACACCATACTTTTACTTGACTGCCATGATCTCCTGTAATTGTCATGCCTGCCCTGTGCTATTGGGGCTGTGTTCTGAGAAAACCACCACCCCTAATTCCTCTCAGGACTTTCAGAGAGAAAGTGCTCCGTGGCCTGCTTCTATCGAGAGTCTGTCTCTGCCCACATCTGCAAACACCCAGCACTTAGAAATGGCAGCATGGCTTTATCATTTTTCCCTCTCCCCAGGTCATTTCTTCTCTTTGTTTTCCTTCAGTACAGGAGGCTGCTGGTGCAGATACTGCAGAAGTGATGCCAGTAATGGGGCAGACACAACATGGCTTAGATTGTGCCCACCCAGGCAAGTTGCTGAATGGAACCCTAGTGGTGGCCCCATCTGGATGTAAATCCTGAGCTTGAATCTGTTATTCCATTACTGTGATTTCCGTTTGGTTCGCCAGAAATATTGCAGTTGCAAACACAACCTATGTTCCTGCTGTTTTTCTTGCTTCTCTGATGAAGTTGTGAATAAAACCCTGCTGTTTATATATAGAATGCATGGTCCTCTCTTTCCAGCCACGTTTAAGGGAAGGGAAGAGGAAGGGAACTGGAGGGTGGGGTGTTCAGTGAAATGGGGTGGGCTCTAAAAAGCCCGGGACACCCCCATGTCTGGCATCAGCCTGGCAGTGAATGAGCTCTTACTCCATTCATTCAGCAAGGAGGTACTCAATGCCCACTGTATGCTGGGTCTCCTTCCAGTTGCTGGATTCTGCTCTCGCCTCTGCCACCTACTGGTGCAGGCAAATGTCTCTTCCGTTTCCTCGCCTCTAACGAGGGTACTACGCTATACTAACACTACACTACTGGGCTTTACTTAATCTCATCATATTTCATTTCCACGCCAAGTTTCTACAGGAGTACCTAATGCGTGGAGAGAGAGAGCCTGGTGAGATTCCAGACCCCGCTATCTGCCTGCTCTCTTCTCTGAATTTAAGTAGAGTTGCCAGAGTTAGCAAATAAAAAACGGACACCCGGTAAAATTCGAATTTCAGATAAAAAAAATTTCGTGTAAAATGTCCTAAAAATTGCATGGGCATACTCACACAAAGAATATTATTCATTGTTTATCTGAAATTTCAGTTTAGCCGGATGGTTTTGTAATATTCCTGGCCTTGGGATACTGACCGCCGTTTTCTGGGCTGCAAATACCTAGATCTAAAACAGGTATTTGGTCCGTCCAGCCCTGCTCCGAGCTAACTTCGGAGTCTTTCTTCCCTTTTCCGGGAGCTTTTCCCCAAAGATTTCCCAGCACAGCCCAGCGAGGGCGGGGCGCATGGGCAAGCCAGCTGGGACACCACGGCCCCGCCCGCCAGAGGGAGGCCACGCCCTCTCCTCGCGAGAGGGCCGCGGACGTCCTGGAAGGCTTGGAAGCGGAAGCGGGGTGCCGGAAGCGGCAGTTGCCATGGATCCCGCGGAGGACTGGCTTGTGGAATCCTTGCGCTTGTAAATCGTGAGGGATTGGGAGCTGAGCCTGGGCCTGAAACGCGTCTGGTGGGCGGATGAGTGTGGGTGGAGGCACGTAGGGAATCCTGGTATGAGGGGGACGCGTGGCTGGGTCTATRCGGAATGACTCTTCTTGGGCCTCGGCTTTTTTATCTGGAAAAAGGCCCGTTCTGCGTGCTAGTGGTGTTAAGAGCTGTGCCAGTGATGGATAATAATACCAACACAGATGATCAGTTATTTTGCTCCAGCCTCTAGGTTAAACATTGAACATAGATTAACTTATTGGATCTTCACATCAACTTTGGGTGTCCTGGGAGTTCCACAGATGAAAACCGAAGCTCAGGGCCTAGTGTTTGGCCTAGTCCCAGTCACACGGGGTGTAAAATAGGAACTAAGACACAGTCCCTTGGGCTGGGGATGTAGCTCAAGCAGTAACATGCTCGCCTGGCATGCGCAGGGTGCTGGGTTCAACCCTCAGCACCACATAAAAATAAAATAAAGCTGTTGTGTCCGCCGAAAACTGAAAAAAAAAAAAAAAAAAAGACACAGTCTCTTGTCTGCCTGACTCCAGATCCAGGTCCCTAACCACCAAATTCTGTTATTTTTGTCAGCTGTACAGTTCCATGCACCGTGTGATTGTGTCCCTTTTGTGCAGGTACCAGGATTTCCATGCATTCGACCTCTCAGGAGCCACACGAGTCCTTGAATGGATTGGTGACAAAGGTGATAAAACTTGCCTGGCCCTAAAGGAAATGGAATCACATTTCTCAGGCTGAGAGTCAGGGGCTCAGTCTAGAGGGACCCAGGCTACTCTTTTGGGAGCCTGAGGGCCTATTGGTCACTTGTTGAAATTTGGTGCCCCATCAGCATTTACGTTCCTTTTATTAAGACCCTCCATCCCCTGATTCAAGGCTGCACACTGATGGGGAAGGAATTTATCCCTGATTGGGCGGATTTGGCAGGAATTTATAGATCCACCCATTGTCTATAATCTTCCTAATGATTTATCACAGCTGCTGCTTTTTTCCAGGAGTCTTTGTTGCTGGCTATGAAAGCCTGAAAAAAAATGAGATTCTTCATCTGATACTACCTCTCAGACTTTCTGTAAAGGAAAACCAGGTAATTTGAAATATAAGTATATATGTTCATTTTTATTTATTAAGCATTTGAAAACTCCTGTTACACACCAGGTATTGTCCTGGATGCTGGAGAGACACACACACACAATGGTCATGCCCTTACAGTCTACTAGAGGGAGACAAGTTTGAACAGAGATAAGTGTTATAGAATCTCATGTGATTCATAGAGTGCTACTAGAGGAAGAGGTCAGTTTTATTAAAAATAGATTTGGGGGGTGGGGCTATAGCTCACATGCATGAGGCATTGGGTTTGACCCTCAGCACCACATAAAAATAAATAAATAAAGACATTTTTAAAAAATAGATTTAGGGCCGGCCAGATGATGCATGCCAATAATCCCAATGGCTTGAGAGGCTGAGACAGGAGGATCACAAGTTGAAAGCCAGCCTCACCAACATCGAGGTGCTAAGCAACTCAGTGAGATGCTGTCTCTAGCTAAAATACAAAATAGGGAGCTTGGGTTGTGGCTCAGTGGTAGAGTGTTCACCTAGCATGTGCAAGGCCCTGAGTTTGATCCTCAGCACTACATAAAAATAAAGGTATTGTGTCCGACTGCAACTAAAAAATAAACATTAAAAAAAATAAAATACAAAATAGGACTCAGGATGTGGCTGAATGGCTAAGTGCCCCTGGGTTCAACCCCTGATACCCACTACCACCACCAAAAAAAATAGATTAGGAAACCATTAGGGTATAGAAAGTAGTTGAAGCCCTTAGAATAGTTTAGATTGCCTAGAATAATATGTACTATAATAGATTAAGAGAAGATAGCTAAGGACAGAACTTCAGGAGACACAGTTAAAGGGACAGGTATAAGAATTGGAACCCACAAGAAATACTAAGGATAGTCTTTAATGTAGGAGGAGTTTCAGAAAAGGTTCAAATGCAAAAGAAGAAAACATGTCAAGAAGAGTCTATAGGGCTRGGGTTGTAGCTCAGTGGTAAAGCATTTGCCTAGTATAGTGAGGCCCTGGGTTTGATCCTCAGCACCAGAAAAAAAAACAAATTAATAAAGGTCAAATTCTTTAAAAAAGAATAAAAGTCAATGACTATGTAATGTTACTGTAGAATCATTCAGGTGAGGATTGAAGTTTGTTTATTAGATTGGCAATTGGGAAGATCTTGGTAACCTCTGGCACAGCATTTTAATGATTGTCAGGGCCAAAGACTGAGAGAAAGGAGGAAGTGGAGATGCAGGAAGGGAAGAAATCAGAACAATAACTAGTCAGAAATAGACTTGAAGAGGGAGGATTTCCTAAAGCCAGAAGTGTTAGCAGAGTTACAACCTGAGGAGAAGTAGCTCTTGAAGAGGGAGAGAATGTAGATGTAGGAGTGAGGGAATAACAGGAAAAATGATCCTAACCTCCAGTGATAGAAAAAGATCCTGCTTCCCCAAAATGGGAAGGGTGAGGCATACAGTTAAATAACTGAAAGGCCATGTAGGAACAGGAATTTGAAACTGTTTGTTTCTGAATAAACAAATTTATTTGTTTGTTTGTTTTTGCAATACTGGGGATTGAACCCAGGGCCTTGTACATGCTCTACAACTGAGCTACACCCTTAGTCCTTTAAAATTCTTTAATAAGAAACCAAGTTATCTTACAGGGTAACCATGGCATAGTTAAACTGAAGGTTTAGAATAGATGACAGGGTAGACAGGAACCTATAAAGGGATTATTAAGACCAGGAGAGGCTGAGTCTCAGGCAACCATAGTCCAGTGTTTCTCACAGTAGCCTGAAGACCACCTGTATCCAAGCTATTAAGGTTGCTGGCTAAAATGCAAATTCCTGGGCCCATTCCCAGACTGATTGTATTAGAATTTCAAGAGGTAAAGCTCAGAAAAATGCCAAGTGTTCCTTTGAAGAGCAGACTGTATCTGATTGGCCAACCCTTTGTATTTTAGGGCTTATTCCCAGAAAGAGATTTTAAATTGCGCCATGGCGGATTTTCAGACGGACCTGTCTTTGATCTAAAGCATGTGCCAGATACCAGGTATAGTCAGTTCTATGACTCAGACCTTCCATTTCAAGATGGGATGGCTGAAAATACCCAGGGGTGTCCTGCTTTTTTATTGCCTCCTCAGCTCTAACTGCACACAGACATGTAAATGTGCACACAGATCTAGAACATAAAACCATTATCTCCATACCTACTTTGATTGATGTAACCACCAGGTCACTGGAATTGCTCTAGGGACTAGATAGATACAGGATAAAAAGGATGCTCTTAATCTTTCAGAGAACTGATGTATTAGATAGTTTGTGTAACTAGCTCAGTTAGAGGAAGCTAAGTCTGTAGGTCAGAGTTGTGTATTCAGGCTCCTCATTGGTGTCCTCTCTAGATGGCTGAGCCTGAGCTCAGTCCCATGGCTCTCTATGAGCTGTGGGCCCATCCCTAAAGCAGAGCAAGCTGCTCATCTGTTAAATAAGGATGGATAGTTTTGATCCTGCAGTACAAATTTTTGTTATGGGAGGTGAACAGATCCTAAGCTATGTGGACTGGAAAGGGGAAAGCTGTTGGGGTTTGGGGAGGAGCTCCCCACTATCTGGACTGATTTTCTATCTATCCTGAATAGGTTGCTGGTGACCAGTGGCCTTCCAGGTTGTTATCTGCAGGTGTGGCAGTTTGCAGAAGACAGTGGTGAGTGAATTTCACTTGGTGGAGGTTGAGGTTTAAGGAAAGTATGTGACTTACACACTCCTGCCCCCTACTCTTGAGTCAGGAAATATGTAGACTCTGAGTCAGGGGCAGGAGAATATAGAATCTACTTTTATGGTGGCAAAAAGACAAATTAGCAACCACAGCATGGCAGACAAGCCCCAAACGAATCTTCCCTGAACTTACTCCAAGAGTTGAGTTTACCCAACCCAGCCATAGATGGACTGCCCAGAGAACCACAGGCCTCTCCATTAAGCAAGACGGAGGYCAGGGCAGAACTAGGGCTAATCCGAAGTGCTTTCCTCTTGGAGGAGGAGGATGGGAGAGAGAGAGAAAAAAAGAAGTTATTTCTCTCTACAACATGTTCCCTGGGAAGGAAAATAGCTAATGAGCAAGGTTGACTAGCCAGTTTTCTTCTCAGAGAAGTCACTCTGCTTCCTATCCATTCTGGAAGTGGAAGGAAGTTCCCTCATGGGGAACAGGCTTCCCTCCAGCTGTGGAGATTTGCAGGTCCTCTGTCAGGCAGGCACCAGAGCGGGCAGCCTTCTGACCTGATTTAGTCCCCTCCCTCCCTCCTCCAGTGTCCATCAGCATTAAAGTGTGTGTGCCCCCTGTTGCCTCAGTTGGAAGCTTCCCAGAAGTAGCCTGGTGGCTGCTGGTCCTTCCCCAGGCTTCACTGCTGCAGAAAAGTACTCTTGTGTTTATTGCTTTCTGAGGTCACTGGCCCTGTGGGCTATCTTTATTGTTTTCCTTGTCACCTGTCCTATGCTATAGTTTTTACTTGTTTATATCACTTAGCAGTTGTAGTGGTTTATTTTTTTAAATAATTTTATTGAGGTATATTTTACCTGTCATTTAATTCACACATTTTGAGTGTACAGTTCAGGGATGTTTTTAAAATACATATTGTAGCCATCACTTATAAATTCATTTTAGAATACTTTCATGACCCCAGTAATACTTTCATGGAATATACTGTTAATCCTCGTTCCCATATATTAGATTTGCCTTTTCTGGAAATATCGTATCAATGGGAACATATATGTGGCATCTTTCTCTTAATCCTTTTAAAGTCCATCCATGTTATAGTGTGTATCAGTAGTTTGTTCCTTTTTATGACTGAATTGTATTCCATTATGGCTGTATGGATGTATCTCACATTTTGTCTACCAGTTATTGGATCCAATTTTGGGCTATTATGAATAATGCAGATAAGAACATTAATATACAAATCTTCATGTGGACAAATGTGTCTTAGGTGTCTTGGGTAGACACCTAAGAATGAAATTGCTGTGTCATATGGTAAATTTATGTTTGCTTTTTTAAGGAAACTTTCAAAATTTTCCAAAATGGCTTTATTTATATTCCCACCACAGTGTATAAGAGTCCACATTTTTCCATGTCTTCATCAACATTTGTCACTGTCTTTTTGTGTCCTTGTGGTTTTCATTTGCATTTCCATAATGACTAATAATGTTGAGTATCTTCTCATGTGCTCATTAACCATTCGTTTATCTTGCAAAATGCCTATTTTTTATTGGGTTGTTGGTCTTTGGTCCTTGTACATTCTAGATACAAATTCTTCATTTGGTATACTTTGCTAATATTTTTTCAAAGTCTGTTATTTGTCTTTTCAAGGTATCCTTTGAAGCATAAAAGCTTTAAATTTTGATAAGGTCCAGTTTATCCATGGTTTTTTGTTGTTGCASGGGGATCCTGAACTATTTTTTCATAGCTACGAAGTCTTTACCTAATTCATAAATTTTTCTCCTATATTTTTCCCAAAAGTCTTGTTATTAGGTTCAACATTTGAATCTATGATCCATTTTTAGTCAATTTTTGTGTATAATGTGAGGTAAGGATCTAAGTTATTCTTTTTGCATGTGGATTTTCAATTGTTCTCACACTAATTGTTGAAAAATCCATCCTTTCTCCATTAATTTGTCATGGCACCTTTGTTGAAAATCAGTTTACCATAAATACAAAGATTTAGTTCTGGACTCTGGGTGCTGTTCCATTGATTTATGTGTCCAAACTTATGCCAGGAATTTACAGTTTTTTTTTTATCTTTTCCCCAAAATAGTCTAGCAAGGTTTTAAAGACAAGAGAGAAGGAGTCTTACTAATCATTTGATAGTGCTTGAGTACTGGTGTCTCATAGAGTCTGTAGTGTAGACCTAGGAGAGTTAACAGGTCAAGGGGACTTATTCTGACACTAAAGTGTGTAGAAAGTCAGAGTCATTATCCTCTAGATATTAGTGCAAGAATTTTCCAGAGCTGAGGGAAGACTTTGCTATTTTTCTAGAAGCTTTCATGTTATCTTGGTAAGTTTTCTGAAGTCTGCTGTTGACCCACAGCCCCAAGGCTGATTTTGTGAGCAATGCAGAACAAGCTAATAGAGGCAKTGCTCACTAGACTCACCAGACCGCTGTATATATCAACATGCAGTTTTCTTAGTTTACAATGAAAAAGCAGTTATCACTAAAATATTTTATGGACTATTCTATTTTATAACAAGCTTTGCTTAGAGAAGATATAGCCTATTCAGAGTCTGCATGATAAACGCAGTGAGAACAAGAGAAGTCAGCTCTTGAGATTTCCAAATTGCTTTTTCATAAGACAGACAACTTGTGAACACGTTGCTGCCTGAGCTTTATGCTGCCCCCGCCCTTGGAGCCAAAGCCTCTTCTCTCAGCTCTGGGGATGTAGAAACCATTGAGTTGGATGATTACAGTGCTAAGGGTCTCAGCTGAATGTCACTTGTTCATCCCATTTGAAACTTAAATATGCAGCCAGGCCTGGTGGTGTACTCCTGTACTACCAGCAGCTTAGGAGGCTGAGACAAGAGGATCACAAGTTCCAGACCAGCCTCAGCAACTTAGGGAGGCCCTAAGCAACTTAGCAAGACCCTCTCTCAAAATAAAAAATAAAAAGGACTGGGGATGTGACTCAGTGATTAGGCACCCCTGGGTGAAGTCTCCAGTACCCAAATTTAAAAAATAAAGAAACTTATTCATGGTGTGGCTTCTCTTCTGAACAGGCCCAGTATTTCTTTACGTCTGACTCAACAGCCCCCTCTCATGGACACCAATTTTCTTTACTTGTATTATCACACTTGCTCATGATTGCAGGTCTGGGAGCTGCCCTGATTCCTAAGGGCCTTTGCCTGCCTCTTCTCTGATGCTTTCTGTGTTGGTTCTTAGAAACAACCTGCCTTTTCTTTCCAAGTTCTTGGAGGTACTTCCCTGTCTTGCCTTCATTTGGAATAGTTTGTCTTTTTAGTTGGGGCTAGTTTGGTAAATTTGGTGTAGATTTCCTAGGAGAGGGCACTATACCACTGACTGGAGAAGAAGACCTATGGGATGGAAACCAAGGCCTGGTGCATGCTAGGCTAGCACCCCAACAGAGGTATATCCCCCAGCCCCTCTGATTTCTTACTATAATTATAGAGCAGCTTCCTAGTCAGGAGGTCCCTTAAGCCTTTGTTTTCCACGGAATCTTTGAAATAGATCTCCTTCCTTCCAGAGAGGAGAGATCATAGCTGAGAACCATCCTCTGGCTTAGAGTAGTAGGTTCTGGGAGAATTGTCCAGACTCTTCTGAATCTGTGGAAGGGGAAGAAGGGACTGATTTAAATGTGACCCAAGAGAGTCAGGCAGGCTCTGGCCAGATGGCTTGAACTACAGCACTCCCTAGAGACAAACTCTGGCCCTAAGGCCCAGCTGTTGTGTCTGTGACAAACCCCCACCGCTCATGTGGTTGGAACAGTTAGATTCAGCCAGTCTGATTAAGTGCACTGAGAGGCCTGTGGGCCCTGGGAGCAGTACTGGAAGGCCCTCTGAGTACTAACCCAGCCCATGTAGGTCCCTCTGGGCATGTCCTTTGTGGGAACTGTTATGAGGGAACTCGTGACCACACATTGGCTTGATGAACTATGTGAGTATCCTCATATCTATTCTTCCCTCATCATTCTGATTTATGCCTCTCCTTCAGAGTTGAAAAAATACACAGATGTTCATTTTCTTCAAAGAATGTAGAAACTGGGTTGGGGGTGTGGCTTAGTGGTAGAGAATTTGTCTAGCATGTGCTAGGCCCTGAATTCAGTCCCCAATACCAGGGGGTGGAAACAGCCAGACACAACGGTACACACTTGTAATCCCAGCTACTTAGGAGGCTGAGACAGGAGTATTGCAAGTTCAAGGCCAGCCTCTGCAACTTAGCAAGACCCTGTCTCAAAATAGAAAGGTCTGGGGATGTAGCTCAGTGGTAGAGCGCCCCTGGATTCAATCCCCAATACTGCAAGGGGAAAAAAAAGAGAAGATTCAAATGATACAGAATGCAGAAAAGAGAACTGGCCTGCTAACCAAGCAGGTGGAAACAAAACTAAAACTTGTTTCTACTTGAGGTCCAATATGTCTTTGTTCCATTTACTTTTTTTAAAAAATGTGGTCTTTCTTATTGTCTAGTTTACATTTTAAGTCAGTGATATCTGCAGTGTAACATTTACTTGCTAGATTTTTAACAAGTTGTTTCAGGTCATGGGCTATGTTTTTAAAAGAAATAATACTAGCTCATTAACTCTGTACCTATTACTTTTCACCAAAGGTGTAAGTGACAWCAGTAGTGAATGTTCATTCCTTTTCCTCTATTTGCTCTCTACCAAATTATAAAAAGCAAGAACTGATTGTGGAGTTTTGAGATTACAGTGACTCATAATTTCCCATTTGCAAAAATAATTCATATGATAAGTTATAAAGAAATTAAAGTGATTCTGACTATTTGAAAAATGTAAATATAACCCAGAGTGATTATGTCTCAACATTCTCACACTGTCAGTTCTTTCCTCCTTTTGTATTTTTTACTTTGAGGTAAGGTCTCCCTAAGTTACCAAGGCTGGCCTCAAACTTACCATCCTCTTGCCTCAGCTTCCCAAGTTGCTGAGATTACAGGTGTATGCCACTGTACCCAGCTTCCCTTTCTTTATTAACCACCTTTTTTGGGGGGGTGAGTGGGTACCAGGGATTGAACTCAGGGGCACTCAACCACTGAGCCACATCCCCAGCCCTATTTTGTATTTTATTTAGAGACAGGGTCTAAGGGTCAATGCTGAGTTGCTCAGCACCTCACCATTGCTGAGGCTGGGTTTGAACTCACTGTCCTCCTGTCTCAGCCTCCTGAGCTGTTGGGATTACAGGTATGTGACACTTTGCCCAGCTCTTTCTTGACCTTCTCAATGTCCAGGATAAGATGGCTGGCCTATGCTATGTCATTTTTCAAAACCGTCATTAACATTCTGAGCTTTCATTACTTCCCTTTTCCTCCTAGATGTCATTAAGGCTGTCAGCACCATTGCAGTTCATGAAAAAGAGGGAAACCTCTGGCCTAGAGTGGATGTCTTCTCCTCAATGGTTCCTGGAGTCCTCCATGGGGCACGGCTCAGTGATCTGAAGATTGTGGATCTGGAATCCCAGAAGGTCATGTACAGCTCAGGTACTGCAGTAGTTCACCTCTTGCTGGCTCTTTCAGCCAACATCTGGCCTTCGTCCCAACTCGGCATGTTTGAAACCTAATGTAAACTGTCCGTTCCATGTGCTGGAGAAACTTGCTGAATAAGAGATAGGCTCTGGCCTTGAAGGGCTCCCATTCTGGGGTGGGGAGGGGCAGTCCCAGGGACCAGCAACCACCCAGTGAAGCAGACTATGGCAAGATGAGTGGAAGGAGGGGAATGATTCATTTTGCTTAGGACTGTTGTGACCAGCAAGCCCTGCCAAATTGCCTGACCTGTCTAATTCTTCTTTGCCTTTGGTCTTCCAGACATCAGTGACAGTGAGGAGCTGAGTAGCCTGCAGGTCCTAGATGCAAACACCTTTGCTTTCTGCTGCACCTCTGGTCATCTGGGGCTTGTCGATACCCGCCAGAAGTGGGCACCATTGGAGAATATCAGCCTGAACCCTGGGTCTGGTGGAGAGAGATGGTGTGCAAAAGTTAGGGGCATGGGCCAAGGCCCAGGATCCTATATTGCAAGCCTTGGCTCAGAGGGGCAGCTCCGACTTCTTGACGCCCGGGATCTCTGCCATCCTGTCAGCTCAGTCCAGTGCCCAGTGTCCGCACCTAGCCCCAACCCAGAGTTGCTGCGAGTAACGTGGGCCCCAGTCCTGGACAACTGCTTAGCCATTTCAGGTACTGCTGAACAGGCTCTCATGTCTTATTAGATCTCTCTTTTCCTGAGGATGATGGAGTGCTCAGGAAGAAGACTGCAGCCCCACAATCAATCTGGTTCCAAAAGAATCTGGCTCCAAAAGTTAGAAGTTTCCCAAGAGAGCTCCAGATTAACTCTTCAGGTTCCTCAGTGGTAGGCCCTTCCCTGCCCTGGCCTCTAAACTTCCATGCACAAACACCAGCCTCTCCAAGCCTAGCAGGGATTCAGATTTCTGGTCAGTTGAGAGAAATGCAGATAGTAAAATGCTGGGATAGCCATGAAGCTGTACCAGAAAGGGGACAGGATTTCTTTTTTTGTTTTGTTTTGTTTTAATTAGTTACATATGACAGTACAATGACCTTGACGTATCATATATTTGAATCAGATGGGGTATAATATCTCATTTTCCTGAGTATACAGGTTGCAGAATCACATTGGTCATGCATTCACATATATACACACAGTAATAATAATGTCTGTTTCATTCTACTATCCTTCCTATCCCCCCAACCCCTCCCCTCCCCTCCCTTCACTTCTCTCTACCTAATCTAAGGTAACACTATTTTTTTTTCCTCACATCTTCATACATGTATTTTGTATAACAATGAGGGTCTCTTTCCACCATCCATGCAATTCCCTTTCTCCCTCCCTTTCCCTCCCACCCCTCTTCACTATGTAGAGGTAATCTTCTTCTCATGCTCTTCTTCTCTTCCCCATTTTGAGTCACCCCCTTATATCAGAGAAGACATTTGGCATTTGTTTTTTTGAGACTGGCTAACTTCACTTAGCATAATCTGCTCTAATGCCATCCATTTCCCTGCAAATGCCATGATCTTATTATTTTTTAGTGCTGAGTAATATTCCATTGTGTATAWATGCCACATTTTTTTTTATCCATTCATCCATTGAAGGGCATCTAGGTTGGCTCCAAAGTCCAGCCATTGTGAATTGTGCTGCTATAAACATTGATGTGGCTGTGTCCCTGTAGTATGCTGTTTTTAGGTCTTTTGGGTATAGTCTGAGAAGAGGAATAGCTGGGTCAAATGGTCATTCCATTCCCAGTTTTCCAAAGAATCTCCACACTGCTTTCCAAATTGGCTGCACCAATTTGCAATACCACCAGCAGTGTATGAGTGTAGGGACAGGATTTCAAGGATGCTTCTCAACCTACTTTCATTTTGAGTTGTGCAAGCCAGCCAGGTCAAGCTCATGGGCCTGGTGGAATCTAGTTGCATGGAGTATGGAATGAGGGCAGTAGATGCCAATGGGGAGGATCCATTGTGGGGGAGGGCCTGAAAGAATAGAAGAGAGCAAGGAAAGAAAGCGCCAGGATTCATAAAGAGCAGAAGAAAAGAACCAGGCTCTGTGGAGGGAACAGGAAGATGGCAGGATAGCGTGAGTGCAGATGTAACTCAATTTTGGGGGACGTGAGGGTGTTCCTCTCTTTTTTTTTTTTTTTTTTTTTAAGAGAGAGTGAGAGAGGGAGAGAGAGAAAGAGAGAATTTTTTAATATTTATTTATTTTTTTTAGTTATCAGCGGACACAACATCTTTGTATGTGGTGCTGAGAATCAAACCCGGGCCGCACGCATGTAAGGCGAGCGCGCTACCGCTTGAGCCACATCCCCAGCCCGGTGTTCCTCTCTTAGGGCTTCTTCTACTTCCCTCTTTAAGGCCATTTGCTGAGAGGGACAAGCATGGGAKAGATTGGAATTTGGGACAAGTTAGAAAGGTTTGATAAGTCTCTTAAGCCTCCATTTCCTGSGGAAAATAGTCCCTACTTCAAATGGTTGTAAGGATTAAGAGATAGGGCATGTCCAGGATCAGCCCTGGACCTGGTCTGTAACAGGTGAACCACAGATGATCATGGCGACATGCCCGGGAGGCCAGCACTGGGCAGAAGTCACATTTCCAGTAGTTGGCTTTTAAGTATCTTGCTACTACTATGTGAGAACTCATCCTTAGCCTGTTTTGGTGCCATTGAGCAAATGGCATTGTTTTAGGGATTCAGGGTTGATGCTCCTTTTCTATATTCTTCCTCAGGTTTTGATGGGACTGTTCAGGTCTATGATGTCACAACTTGGGATGGAACAGGGATCCAGGTGGAACCTCTCTTCACTCACAGAGGTCACCTCTTCCACGATGAAAACAAAATGGATACTGCTCCACAGGTTACCACCCACACCTGGCACCCCTGCAAACCMAGGACTTTGTTATCAGCAGCAAGTGATGCCTCCCTGCACGTGTGGGACTGGGTGGACCTCTGTGCTTCCTGCTGACACCAGCATCGTCCTGCCTTGGCCATTAGGAAGAGAAGGAGATGCTGGAGTGGCAGGCGCACTGATTCAGTTCTTGAGTGACTACAGATCCCTGCTACCAGCTGTATGGCCTTGGCAAGTCAGTCTGTCTCTTGCCCCCAGTTTTCTTTTCTGTAAAATGAGGAAAGAAATAACTACCTTGCTGGGACTGGTGGCAAACACCTGTAATCCTAGATGCTCGGGTGGCTGAGGCAGTAGGACACAAGTTCAAAGCCAGCCTCAGCAACTTAGCAAGGCCCTAAGAACTTAGTGAAATCCTGTCTCAAAATAAAAAATTAAAAAGAGCTGGGGATGTGGCTCAGTGGTTAAGCTTCTCTGGGTTCAATCCCTGGTACCAAAAAAAAAAAAAGACTACCTTGCGGGGTTATTGGGAAAGTTAAAAGTGACATAAAGAATAGTTTTTGTAGGACACATGGCACAATAAATTACCTGGTAGCTGAGGGCTCCACTTTCCCCAGTGTGAAGTGGCAGTGTTTTGTCCCTCCCTTCTTCACAGTATCAGAGTAAAAATCAGAAGAGCTTGTGGATGTAATTGTGTTATGTGAACTTTTTTAACAGAAAAAAAAAAATGTATTAGGGCAAGTGAACATGAAGAAACATCAACCCCAGTAGAAATTAAGAAAAGATTGTGCCATTTTTTGCCTGTCAGATTGCCAAATATCAAAGCCTTATTGCTTTGAGCAGCTGATGGAGGTTCTGTGGTACTCTGAAGGGCGCAGGAGAGGCAGGGTCTTCATTCCTGCTGTATACTGTACCTTGTGCATTTGAACCAGAACGCATACATCCAGCTCCCTATTAAAGGGCAGTTACATTTTCCTCATCTTTTCTTATTGTGTGATGAACAGCTTTTGTTCCCATAAATAATATGTTTTTAGGATAAATTTGTAAAAAATAAAATTGCTGTGGCAGAGAATATATGCATATTGAACCACTGCCAAGGTGCCCTCCTTAGAGAGTATGTCATTTTCCCCCAAACATTGATGCCTCTCTCCCTCATCCTTGCTAACAAAAGTCTATTAGTGGATTTTGACCTTTGCCAGTCTGATGAATGAAAAGTCATTACTCATAGCCTTAGTATGCATTTCTCTTGAGAAGTTGGTACTCTTCAGCCAGACATGGTGGTGTGTGCCTATAACCCCAGTGACTTGGGAGGCTGAGGCAATAGGATCATGAGTAGTTCAAAGCCAGCCTCAGCAACTTAGCAAGACCTGTCTCTAAATAARAAATAAAAAGGGCGGGGGAGGGGCCAGGGTTGTGGCTCAGAGGCAGAACTTCCCTCTCACATGTGAGGCACTGTGTTCAATCCTTAGCAACACATAAAAATAAATCAACAAAGTAAAGATTTTAAAAAAAGGTGAGGGATATGGCTCAGTGGTTAAAACTAATGGGTTCAATCCCAAGCCAAAGTGTGAAAATAGTTGTTTGTGCTCAGCACCAACCACAACACAAGAAGTTCAAACAGATCCTAGCTGTCTCCTTGTCCCTCACTAGAACACAGCCTTCCCCGGGGTGGTACTTTCTATGCTATTCCCCAGGGGAATCCACATGAGGGGCATTTCCTTTTGGGGGCTCCACAAACATTTCTGTTTGGGGATCCATAGCAAATATTAAAGTTATATGCATCTCCCTGTTGTATACAATATCTCACTGTTGCATTTATTAAAGGGTTTTTTTATGAATTTTGCTTTTGAAGTTATGTGGGAAGCCATTTTCTCACGTGATTGGGCACCTCCCGGATTGGGTGTGAGGCGTTCTGGCCAAACTGTGTCGGAGCTATCCCCACCCTCTCCAGGTGCGAGAGTCTGTCCATGTGGGGGTGTGACTGACCACTGACCCTGACCTTGAAATGCTGCCCCCCTCGACCTTCATTGGATGGAATTTTCCCCTGAATTTCTTAATTTCTTGTTCCCCAATAAAAGGCCACTCCCTGGTGTTCGTTCTCTCTCTCTCTCTCTCTCTCTCTCTCTCTCTCTCTCTCTCTCTCTCTCTCTCTCTCCTGCTAGTCCTGAGTAAGGTGAGAGCCAGAGAGGGGAGAGCTGTCTCCGGACCTGGTCATAGAAAAAGGTAATTGAGTCTGTGTTTTATTTTGATCTCACTAGTTAACTTCTATGTCACGAACCTCTTTAATGAAACTAGCATGCTGGTCGCCTGGTGGAAAGTTAGTTTATTATTAGTCACAATTTGGATTTTGTTTTTGTGTGTGCACACCCGTGTGTGTGCGTGCATACCATGTTGCACTGGAATGAAACCCCAGGCTGGTTTATGCTAAACAAGTGCCTTTCTTCCTCTGCTTATAAGGCCACCAGTCCTACTGGATTAGAGCCTTATCCTGGTGGCTTCATTTAACCTTAATTACCTCCATAAAACCCCATCTCCAAATGCAGTCACACTGGGGGTTGATTCTTCAACATACCAGTTTAAGTGAGGGGGGCACAACAGTCCATAGCACTGGGAATTTTTTTTCCTCAGCAGTTACTAGGGATTGAACCTGGGGCCTCACTCATGCCAGGCAATTGCTTTTCCACTAAACTACATCTCCAACCTCCTAACATGTATTTTTAAAAGAAATATATTCTTTTTTGAGACAAAATCTTGTTATGTTACCCAGGCTATCTTCCAACTTGGAAATTCAAGTGACCCTCCAACCTCAACCTCCTGAGTAGCTCAGGCTACAGGAATATGCCACCATGTACAGTTCAGAAATGAATTTTTTGATTACTTAATTTAACAATGAAGTTGATGGAATATTACATTTTGGGGACATTTAAATTTTTCAATTTCAACATGTGATCATTCTTAACCATTTCCTGAAGCCGCCTCAATCATTCCTCCCTCCTCCTAAGAATTGATCCTGTAGCTCTCTTTCTAGCTGTGTGTACAGTGACATTACACTGACAGCTTGAAATTGGCCATGGCAGAAATATTTACATGTCAGAAATTGGCAAATATTATAAAGCAGAGCTTTTTGTTTTTCCCTCAGAGATTTGAATTACCAGCATGCCACTGACTAAGCTATAGAATCTCACCAAGTAAAATCACAAGTGAGTAATTTAGAAAATAGTAGAATTGCTGCCTGAATTTAAAAGCTGCTTTGCAGAAGTGTATTGACAAAATGTGTATCAGTCATGGTCTGGTCAGGAAGACTGAACCCACACTAAGTAATTTAGTTGAGAGAATTTAAATTTAGTGATGAGGTATCTGAAAGAGGAAGCAAAGCGAGGCACTCTGAGTGAGCAATGGCAGGAAGTTGCCATACAAGGATAAAAAGAGGTGGTGGATGTGGCCAGAACCCAAGGTTTGGCCTCCTGGTGACAAACGGCAGAACCCTATCTGTCCAGAGCTGGGGTCATGGGGCAGGGGGCTGCATCAAAGGTGCTAAAACTGCAGAGGAGACATCTGAGGACTACAAGAAGTACAGAGTCACCTGGCTTCTCTCCTTCCCCTTCAATATCCTGCTAGTGCTATTGGTCAAACCTACATGGAGCTTATTGGCAAGGGACTTCTGGGAGGGTAGTGAGCAGGAGACGGTCCCCTGCAGTACAAAACAGAGCTGGAGAAGGACCCAGAATGAATCTGAGGAGAAAAGACAAATGACTAGTACCACATTCAAACCTCAACAACCAAGAAAAAGGAAGGACCAAAGGTGTCGCACTGGTTATGTGCTTGCCTAACGTACACAAGGCCCTGGGTTCTATCCCTGGCACTACAAAAGAAAGGGAAAAAAAAATGTGTGGAACTTTGGGTTTGATCCACAATACCACACACACAACAAAGTAGAAAATAGAACAAGGATTTTAAGAATGTGTATAATTACATATTAATTCAGAGATTAATTTATTATAAATTTTTGGCAGGAAATCAGAATTATCCAATACTCAAGAAAGGACAATCATTCCAGGGATACATCAAAGGGGATATTGAGGGCTAGGGGTGTAGCTCAGGGTTAAAGCACATGTTTAGCACATGTGAAGCCTGGGTAATATCCCCAGCACTGAACCAGACGAATCCCAAGTTCAAAACCAGCCTCAGCAATTTAGCAAGGCGGCCCTAAGCAATTTAGCAATACCTTGTGTCAAAATAAAACCTAAAAGAGGCTAAGGATAGCCTTGAGTAAGTTCCTGCTCTTTGACAACTCTGCCCAGCCCTGCCCTGCCCCACCCCAAGTTCTTTGGCTGGTTCTAATCTTATTTATTTATTTATTT